ATAACAGATTTAACTCATATAAAACTATTAAGCCGGGCAAAAACTCGTGCCTTGGTGGTCTATCAGCTAACGAGTCAACATAGTCTCCTTCTGGAACTTTGGAGATCCCAGATTGTATGGCACCTCTTAGACCGGTCTTTCATCACGCCGGACATTGCGCACAATTTTTTGCCATGATAGGACTGATAGGAGTCTTCCGCCCTGCGCCTACTTCCAGAAGTTTAAGGTATCAGAATGCACTAAAATAGTACTTTCGAAGGCTTTCACCTCACGTAAAGACTTTCTTCCTTTGGACAGAATTTCGCCCTGCCATAACTCTTTAACATATCGTCTAGGATACCTTCAGTTCGTAGTCCGGGCACCTGAACGGAGCTAGAACGTGTGTGGCATGCGGAAATGGGGGTTTTCTCACCATGTTCAATGCGCCTACACATTTTCAGTTGTCTTGACCTTGTCAAATGATTACAGAATTGCGCGTTTGTCTGACGGTCTATTGTAAAGCTAGTTGCTAGACGCCTGATACTTCGCCTTTAAACATCAGGTGCACTGAGGTGCGCGAGCATTTTGAGACGCATTTGTTTTGCAATTGAAGCAGATCTAATTTTCAAATGAAATGGAGGGCCTTCCATAATATTAATAAGAGGTTTGCCCGCATACAGGATCCACCACCTGCAAAAATACCTGGACTTGCCACGTCATTTATCCATTTGCCTACTGTAGTCTTCTCAAGATTCAATCTTGTTAACGTGTTTCGTACTTAGTTTCCCGTTTTTTTTCATCCCAGCCTCGATTTGGGCAGCCATTTATTTTATCTCTAGTAGCGACAAGTAAGGGCTGTGAAGTTGAATTCAGAACCTGGTGACCACGTAGTTTACACTTTTCTCAGGTACCTGTTTTGACAAAATTATCTTTCCGACCGTTTTAGGAACTTGATAAGGAGGAACGTCGACGTCGTGAAGAAGCAGTGGCTATCGCAGAAACTGAAGACGATGATCCAGATTGTTCAGGTGGTCTCGAGGGCGGACTGGGTGATCCGGATAAGCGGTCCGGAAAGAAGAAAGCCAAGAAGCGAAAAGGAAACAAAAAGTCCGGTAGTTCCCTCTCAAGTAAGCGGAAGAAAGTCGATGGACCAGTGGATGGTATAACGGAACTTTCGCGAAAGGTCTACGACACCATGGAGAAGTTGAAAGAAATCTTCTTTGTCATCCGCCTACACAGAAATAACGCCGCGGCATCGCTCCCCCCGATCGTCGACCCTGACCCCCTGATCCAAAGCGAACTGATGGAAAGTCGTGACTCTTTCTTGCAGATGGCTCGAGAGAAACACCTGGAATTCTCATCCTTGCGGCGTGCAAAGTACTCCACGATGGTGATGCTTTACGAACTGCACAATGAAGGCCGTCAAAACTTCATGTACAGTTGTAATGTTTGCAAGGCCCAGATCGAAACCCGGTGGCACTGTAACGAGTGTGAGGAGTATGATCTGTGCTCCAGATGCTACAAGCGAGAGAATCATCCGCATCAAATGGTCCAGTATGGCTTTGGCATGGATGAGGACGAGTCTAATGCCAATGGCGAACCTGCAGAAAAGTCCAACAGCACTGTCCAACGCAAGGGCAGCTTGGAGTACTATGCCAAAGCACTTGCTCATGTTTACCAGTGTCGCGATGCGAACTGCCGTATGCCAACCTGCGTTCAAATGAAACAGGTTCTCTCCCACAAGCGCACCTGTACCAAACGTGCTAATGGCACATGCACCCTTTGCAAACAACTGGCAAGCATGTACTGCTACCATGCACGATCTTGTGAAGACCCCAAGTGCCAGATACCGTTGTGTCCAACCCTGAAGGCTCACTTTAGGCGTCAACAGATTGAACAGCGCCGACAGCAGAGCAAGTCGTTGCAACGACGAACCAATTTGACACGTGGAGCGACGGTGGCAAGTGATGGCTCGTCGCAGCACCACCCCACCCATTCACTGCCTGAATCTCACACCCTTGCTGGTTCGGATTCCACTAGAGGTTCTGGGGCACAAATGACTCAACAAGGCTCAAAGGTGTCGTCTTACCCGGTTCCTTCAGATCTCGAAAACAGTAGCATGACAGTCCAACACCCGGACTCTGTCAATG